AAAGAAAAGCCACTCGAATTTCTTTGGGACCGAGAAGACCGTCTTATGCAGAAAGACTTAGTATGGCTAACCTAACTACGTTTGAACTTCGCCGACAACGTGGAGACTTAATTACAACATTCAAAATACTAAAATTCAATTTTGGAAACCTCGATGAAATATTTATCATAAACCAAGATGAACGCCTCAGAGGTCATCAATATAAACTAAAGAAAGAAAATTTTTCTATAAGACAAAGACAGAACTTTCTTCCAAATAGAGTTTTTGAGTGCTGGAATAACCTCAACGACAACATTGTCTCCGCTTCCTCTACCAACTCGTTCAAAAACAGACTCGACAGTTTTATATTATAGTTAAAATATTGTTTTTCTTTTAAACCAAAAATTGTAATTTTATTTCTTTTAGTTGTAATTTTTGTTATTTACTAGTAGGTGATTAATGAAATTTCTTTGTTTTTGGGCATAATAGGGATTTAGTTCCTCTGCCCTTGCTTATATAATAATAATAATAATAATAATAATAATAATATAAGGTCATGCAGAAAGCTGTACTACTTTCGACGTCTAGATGCGTGCGAAAATTTTTAGGAGATACACCGACGTACCAAGTCACCTAGGACTCGATAACATGGAAAGAGTCCCACCAGAGCTCAATCCTTTTGATACCGTAGATATCTGGGATGAGTGAATTTTCCCCTTAGAGGGAGTGTGAGCCGTATGGCTAAATCTGGATAATAATAATAATATATATCACTAGGTGGCCAGTCAAATCTAAGATTAAAGTTTTCAAAGTACTTATAAAAAAACTGTACTTAATATTACTTTCAGGATACATTTCATTCATTATTTCATTTCATGAATAATTCATGCTTAAATTGACAAACATTCACTTAGGTACAAAACATTTTTTAATGTCCTTCTTTTGTTGGAAAGGAACTAATATGATTGTGCACCTTGGCAATTTCGCTTTCACGTATTTTATTACCACTTCTGTTTTTTTATCGTTAATCTTGTGCCTTCAATGTAGCGTCTTGTTGACGATCTCGATGCTGTTTAACTTCTGTTAAGTCAACCATTCTCTGCAAGTGAATGTCTGTTCCTTTTTAGTATTCATACTATACAATAGACAAATATATTGCCTTTGTCAACATCGTCAAATTAAGTACAGCATTTTTGGGAGACCTACAACAAAAGAAGAAAATACTTAGTTCGTTTTAAGGGATTGGATAGTATCTTTGCTGTAGTTTAGAGGTTAGTCATCATTCTAGAATTGTACAAACACTTTATGTGAATAAACAACAAGCTGTGACAACTTTGACAACATTGAATATTACATTGCAAAAAGTTTTAGGTGATCTGGTCCTTTTTGCTTGTCTTGGTTTCCCACTATAATCAATGTATCGTTTGTGTTTTCTTCGTTTTTGTTTCAGGCATCGTAAATAACTGTCATTGTCTTCACTGATTCTTGAAAATTACTAAGATGTTTTTAAATTAACCAATGTCGCCTCTAATTAACAATAATTAACTTCCTAATAGTTATCCCACACTGCAGAAGTTTTCCAAAGTGCAGAAAAGTACCTGATTCCCTGACTTGGGTCCTTTTCTGTAGTAAACGAAAAGTACGCCATATGATTTCTCTATTATAATGGAATGAATTGGCTCCATTTCTACAATAAACGATGTGTCTACCATCATAGTAAATTAACAAGAAATAACAAAATAGTGACTCAGGTCCCTTTCTCAAATAAGCTGTTCAAATATACAATATCGTAGGATTGCATTCGTCAGCAAATACTTTCCGATACCAATTATTAACTTCCATTTATCCCGAACCGCGAGCCAAAAACCAGGGTTAAGTAGCATTGCAGAATAATCAAAAACACTGTCGATAGGTCGACGATGGGTCGAGTTCGAGTACCAGTCGAGTACGGTGTGAGTAGAACACTAAGACGACGAGCGGACGAGGTGATATGCATAGGACGACATCTCATCTCTAGACGACAGTCGTGTTTGTCGACCAACAATAAAATATTTGATATAATTCGAATCGACCCGTGGCTATTAGTTAAACCCTAGACAACAAGAAAAAACTTTGAGGGTATACAAGGCAACTATCGAACACGGTGATTAATTTAATCTTGCCCAAGTACTTTCGATCAATAGATCATCTTCAGGGGCATCTGAAATAAGCCAAGAAACGTTTTTTATAAAAAGGAAAATTAATTCACTTGATAAAAAACTCCAAGTTTATGGTTGAAAAAAATTTTTATATGTGATAAACGTTTATAGACTTACTTCGTCAATTGTGGCCTATCCGACATAGTAGAATGTCATAAATGTAAAATTTGGACATAACAATACAAAATACAATACACTAAGACAAACAAACACTTTAAAAATCATGAATGTGTTGCTTGTGTGAGTCCATATCAAATAGGTAAAGAAATAATAATAAGACTTACTCACAATCAATTTAATTTAACAATCTGACGACCGGTTTCGCTTTCTATAATTTGCAAAGCATCTTCAGGTCGAGATACAAAGTTAAACTAATGCTGCAATAAAATAAACCCAATTAGGGTGGTGTCTCATAAAGATAAAATAAACAAATAAATAAATTAGTTCATACAAATTATAGTAATTATGCCAATATTACATGTCTGTGGTTTTCAAAATGAATAATTTGAATATATAAAAGGTAGTAACAGACAAGGTAAGGCCCACAATTGGTATAAAGTAGCAATCTTATGTTGTAATAAATTAATAAATGAGCAAATAAATAAAACAAAACAAAACAAACATTACTTACATGCCGGTACTCTATTAATTGATGGATATCCATCAATTAATATGGATATGGATATCCATCAATTAATAGAGTACCGGCATGTAAGTAATGTTTGTTTTGTTTTGTTTTATTTATTTGCTCATTTATTAATTTATTACAACATAAGATTGCTACTTTATACCAATTGTGGGCCTTACCTTGTCTGTTACTACCTTTTATATATTCAAATTATTCATTTTGAAAACCACAGACATGTAATATTGGCATAATTACTATAATTTGTATGAACTAATTTATTTATTTGTTTATTTTATCTTTATGAGACACCACCCTAATTGGGTTTATTTTATTGCAGCATTAGTTTAACTTTGTATCTCGACCTGAAGATGCTTTGCGAATTATAGAAAGCGAAACCGGTCGTCAGATTGTTAAATTAAATTGATTGTGAGTAAGTCTTATTATTATTTCTTTACCTATTTAAACACTTTAAAATTTATATGGAGAAGCTACATATTGTATCGAAGACGGAGACAGAATGGGCTCCCGGTCTGACGGAAATGTAGAGATGACATGTGACAAATGACAGCTTATGAAGGGCAGTTATGTGATCTGCACCTTTCAAAATTCTATGACACTAAGTATTGACCAAAGGTCCAACTGACACCACTATAGGAAATCGACTGATGAAATATAAAATTATATAGTATATTTTTTATGTAGATTGAATAATCCCAATCTCACACTCAAACCTGTCTATAATAATTAGGATGTTGGTTTGAGAGCAATTGAAGTTGACATAAAGTATGAATGTGAGAAAAGACTAACAATATATTAGACAGTGGATGGTTGACTACAATAAAATGGTCCACCAAGCGCTATCAGTACTGTAAAAAAGAAAAATCTGAATATGCAGTTAAATTACTAAAAGTTAAAATCAAAATTGAAGACAAAATATATAAATGTGTTATAGTCCACGTAGTTCAGTCCGCAGTCAATGGAAGAACTTTAAAATTAATATTGAAATATTCAGTGCATGAAGTCTAAACAGTCGAGCTGGGTCCTCTACGAGGTGAAGCTGTAATAAAGTTTTTAAATATAGGATTAAATTTAGTACAATTTAAATTAATTTGAGTATTAAGACAGTGAGAGTTTTCATTTGTTTCCCTTGTAATCTCCAAATCTTCCAATAAATCCAACTCAAGATAGTTTTTCTTTCTGCTAATGTCATGTAAGATAGATGAACCAGAATTGATGTTAAAATTGTGGTTGCTGGATACTAAGTGTTGACCAAAACTTGAAAATGAACAAGAAAAAACCCTACAACAATATCATTATAGATTTCTCGTCACACAAGTGCACGGTTCTATAAGATTTGTACGCGAGCATAAAACTTTTCATGATTGTGTGGATTTTAAGTTTGGATTTGCATCCTTTAAATTTTATAACACTTTATCCATAGTCCAGTTTTGTTTGTCTATTAAAAATGTCTTAATGGGCCCTTAGACGGGAAGCAAGAAGCTCCTACGTTTGCTTATCCTATTTTCTTCTATTAATTATCCGTTAATTTTGTATTAAGGATATAAATCGTGTATTTGTCTGATTAGAGAATCTATTGCAACTGGCTGAATGACTAATATCTATGTCATTAAAAAAAAAATAACTTTCATTAGCCAGATTTTTTAAGTTTATAGCGTTGTAATTTTTTTAAAAGATGAAGCAATAACCTTTAAAATGAAGGAGTTCTGAAAGTTAATCGCAGGTATGAAAGCTGAGCTATACTTGGAAAAGTCCCATTGAATACCTATTTTGTAATTGTTTTTCACGAAATTTGTTATAACTCCGATTCTAAAAATCAAATCAAAGTTAACCAAACTCCATTTTGTTTATTTATTCAAAAGGAACAATTTTCATTTTAGTAGAATTAAATACTTATCTCATACTTTGGGAGATACAATAATTTAAACAATCAAAATTATCTGACGGGGTTTCAGCCTGGTAACCTCGAAAAAGCAAATCTAAGCATTAAAAAACATAAAAAAAAACGTGAAGGTATCGAAGAGACATAAAATTGCATACTCAACCACCCGCCCTGGCGCCTAGAGTAATAGTACATATTATATTTTAGTAGGGCTATGAAACTACTTCGTATTATTGATTTTCTATCAGCGTAATTCTTTTACAGACTTTAGTTATTTATCAAATTTACATTTCAGATGCAGACGTCCAGTATCTAAAATGGAAAATAGAGTAAATAGTTTATTTAAAAATGAAGATAAAGAAAAGTATAAAAACCAACTAGCCTCTTCAAAAAGTACGGGTGATTTAAGAAGAAAATAATAATTACTTTTGGTGTCCAAATTACCATCCATTACAGAATAATTTAATAGGTAACTGTTTAACTGTTTAAATACTTGCTCATATGCCTGATTAGAGATAACTGAGTAAATTATGACTTGTTCTATGCAATCCATGGAACCCTCATCGCATCATTTTTCTTGAGGCTTTGTGATATTATTTAGAGCAAATTATTGGTAGATACAGAAATCTGACTAGGTTTATTAGAGATATTGCAATTGAAAAACTTCAGGAAAAAGGTTTGAGAAAAAATAAATAAAAGAAAAGCGAGAAACTATGTATATAGAGTGGCAAGAAAAAAGATCGTACACAGATTTTCAAAACGACGATAAACATATTATAAAATAGGCAAACATAGAGCAAAGAAAGCATCCGATTATATCTAATTTACGAAAAGAATGTCAAAAAGCGAAGAAAAAATACTTATTAGAATTGGGATGGGATGGGATGACTGAAATGAAAGGAAGCGAATGGTGTGTTGTGTTAAAGAAATATGTCAATTAATCTGAAATAAAAATCTATAAAACTGTTATAAGACTATGATGTACAGATTTAAATTTTTAGGCAAAAAGAGAGAGGAACAATGAATGCATTGTGGGATAAATTGGAATGCTTGGATGGATGAATGGAGTTATAAAGAAATAAAATTTAAAGTAAGTCTATTAGGGGAAGTCTAGTGGTGGCACCAATTTATGCTAAAATTAGAGAACATAGATTAAGACGCTTTGGTCATGTTCAATGTCGCGAGACTAATTACTTAATGAAAAGAATTGCTGATTTGCAACTTCTTGAGAGGAGTCGGAGAGAGTGAGTTAATAATATGACCCAAGATAGAAAATTATGGAACAAAGAGAGTGCTGATGATGAAATAATGTTGCAGGATATGGTTACAAAAAAATTTGAATGTTAAGAAGTAACTGTTGCTTTGACACTTGTATTCGAATGATATTTTATCCTCAGTATTGGATTTCTTGATTTCGTTACACTGCCCCTCCTACTACTAAACCTACATAACATATAGTTCTTATCATTAGCTCATCTCAAAGCTATATAATTTTCTAATCATCCTAATTTTTGCTGCCATATAAATCTGATTTAATTTTTTATAAAAAATGTCCTAATATATTCTTTTATGTCTTAACTATATTCCTTACTTCATCATTTGATTTCTGTTTAGTAATTTTTTGAAGCTAATAGCGTTTTTACATTTACATTTACGAATAACACATAGATACTTCATTTTTATGAATTTTATTTTCTCAAACACTGTTTAATTCAATTTTTTTAGAAACAGTTCAAGAAGATCTTAAAAAGTGTAAACCAAGAAAACAGAATAAACTACTTTTAGAGAATATATGTATGGTGTTTGGTGTTTGTCAAATATAATTTAAATCATTTTTATCTTGTTAATAAAAATATTCTTTGTAATTATGAGACAGGTAATAGACAAGAAGGCATCTAGTGATAACTTCAATACCAACAATGAAACTTATAAAATAAAAAAAAATAATAGAAATTTCAAACAGGGAATCCCGATGTCAACTATTTTAATGTAGTAATATATTGTTACGGTTTTCTATGGATTCAGAGATTAAGTGAAGCACAACTTTATTTAACTCAAAAACTCAAATTATCGCAATTACTAATTAATAATGATCGCTTACAAAACAGTTTGCAGAGATAAGTGGAATCGCTAATACTCATTATCTAATGCCCGCCTCCACTGGCTTACATAATAAGAACGAAATGTTTTTGAAACGAAACGAAAACAGCCTACCGGGCGACGGTTGACGCAAAATTACAGAAAAGAGAATTCTTGACTTCGCTAGAGCACAGGACCACATTCAGGGGTATGTGACACAATATTATTATTATTATTATATAACAAATAAGGGCAGAGGAGCGAGCTCCTATTATGCCCAAAAAGCAAAAATAAAATAGATCCTTATAAAACTAATACTAATTATAAAGTTAAGTGGTTAAACAATTAACAAAAATTGAATTGTGACACAATAAATAAATAAATAATGCTGTCCGAGAAAAAATATCCTATCCTATAAAAAAATAAAACGCTATCAAGTTTATTTTTAAAGATGTTAACACTAGCTGCCGATATGGTGTCTTGATCCAAATTGTTCCAGATATTAAAGATTCTGTTTGGCAAGAAGTTCGCCCTGGACCTTGCAGTAGTTTGTTCCCTCTTTAATTTGTATCGATGGCCTCTTAATCTATCGTCTTCATTCAAAGTGAATATGGTGTTTAGGTTCCCAAAATTATGTTTTAAAATACGGAAGGACATAATTAGGTCAGCTCGAAGACGTCGCTGCTCGAATGTCGTAAGATGAGCCATGAATAGTCTATCTTCATAGTTAGGTCTAACACGGCCGTATGCCAGTCTTGTGGCTTTACGCTGAACGTTTTTAAGTAGGATTTTATCGCGACTAAGATCTGGATTCCACACTGGTCCGGCAAACTCAAGAATAGGTCTAACGTATATTGAGTAAAGTTTACTAACAGAGGTTAGAGATATGCGTGCAAAACATTTACGGATCAAAAACAGTTTCGAGTTAGCACGTTTACACACCGATACTATGTGATCAGACCAATTTAAGTCACTATTAATTATCACTCCGAGATCGTTGTGTGAGGTTACAGAGTTTAAAGGATGTCCATTAATAAAGTACGGCAGTGATGGGTTATTTTTGCCGATATGTAAAGCAACGCATTTTTCAATGTTAAGCGGAAGTAACCATTCTGAGGACCATTTGAATATTGCGTCAAGGTCTTGTTGAAGAATATGTTGGTTAATAGTTGGATTCACATATAACTTAGTGTCATCAGCGTAAATGGAAACCTTACTGGATACAATGAGCGGAAGATCACTAGTGTAGACACAAAAAAGTAGCGGTCCAAGTACTGATCCTTGTGGAACTCCACTCTTGACTGGCTTATCTAATGAGTGGTCTTCCCCAACACGAACCCTGAAGTATCTGTCGGATAGAAAATCTTGTATCCAAATGTTTAATTTTCCGCGGATACCATAGTGATCCAATTTAGCTAGTAATCGACGTTTTAGAACACGATCGAAAGCTTTGGAGAAGTCTAAGTAAACTACATCGACAGGATTCCGATTGTTTAAAGATAATGACCAATCATTTACACAATGAAGTAAGTTTGTGATCGTTGAACGACCTTTGATAAATCCATGCTGTTGGTGAGGGATGACATTTTCTTGAAGAAGGAACTCGGACATAGCTTCCGAAATAATCGATTCCATGACCTTGCTGACAATAGGAACCAGGCTGATTGGACGATATGTTATTAGTGCAAATGTTGTTAAGGCATATTACCTAGTTTATTAATTCCAATTTCCATAAATTCTCAAAGCACAGTGAATCTATACAATAGTATAATAATCTCTCCTGTTTATAAACTATCTTTAGTTTTTAATTTTTGAAATAAGAATTGTAAGTATTATTGCTGACTAAGTAAAGAAGGAAATTGTGTTCTTATTTTTAAATCATTCTTGAGCTAAACCCCCAAAACATAAATTACAAGAACAAGCTAAATATATCTCAATGGAAATATAAATTCCTGTTTCCCGTGTTTCCATTTTTCCCAGGTACTTGTACTTTTATACTCTTTTCTATCTCTTGTTCGTTAACGGTGAACGGTGAACGGTGAAAATGCAAGAAGAGCTTCTACGATAAATTAAGACATTCTTCTTCTTGTAGTGCCTATCCGTTTCGGATGTTGGCGACCATTAGGGCAATCTGCATTTTGTAAACTCCTCTGAAAAGATTTGTGGTTGTTGTCTTGAACCACTTGGAAATCCTTCGCCTTCCTGGTACTCGTTTTCTTGGATAGTAACATGGTCGGTATAGGATATCCTCAGGATTCGACGATAAAGCCACATTTCAAAAGCCTCAATTCTCTTGCAGGTAGCGTCTGTGAGTCCACGACTCAACTCAGTACAACAGTTAGAACATACTAAGTCATATACAATTAGAGGAGAGAGTCATAATAGGAAGTGGTTTTAATGCACGCGTGGGTCAATATAAGAGAGAATATTAAGCAATACAAAATCACTCCCACATATGTTGTCATGATAACAAAAGAAGATAGACGTGAATGTAGGACTGCAAAGTAATAGTTTGTAAAAAGTCAAGTCGTGGATGTCGCTTAAAATATAATAAAAAAAAGGACTGATAGAACTTTGCCTGATCTCCACCAATTGTTGGGGGAAAGCTTATTAAATTCCTTTCCCTTGCGGGTACAGTATCAAATATTTTAGTACCATGGACTGTTAAAGAGTTTCCTTCGGTATATGTAAGCAGACTTTACGACGATGATTCCTTATGTGTTTGGTTTGATAGGGTTGTACTTAGAGAAAAATAAAGCGTAATCAATCGATAATACACTACACTATACAGAGATTATTTACAAAAGCACTATTACTAATTAAAGAGTTCGCTTTAACACATTGTTCATTGTTATACCGGCGTTTTAGGGGAGAGCGAATATAGCGGAAACTAAGGCACATTTTACTACTTTTTGGAGGCGAAGAGATGGTTTGGGTACAGGTGAGTACCGCACACCGCACAGACACAAATCACATCTGCGATTCTTTTTTGGTTTGAACCAAATCTTATCTAAAAGGATCGAGAAGCCGGCGTCGGTTTAACACAAGGCCCTTATCAGATACTTATTGATGATACAAATATTTTGAGTCAAGAAGTACAGTCTGTCACATAAGATTCACGCCAATATTTGTGAAAACGAAAAATAATTATAATTTTAGTATTAGTTGTTGTTTTTACAACAAGGACTATTCAGAGCAAAAATAGTAGAAAAAATATGCTGTTAGTATTATCAGAGATACTGTTATTGAAATACTTTAATGCCATTATTGTCAATACAACTTTGCAAACTTCTGTTCATAGATAGCACCAATCTCCTCATGTTATATTCAACAAGCTTCTTCTATGCCTGCTCAATTGCTTTCCATAGTTCAATTCTATTTCGTGGTCTAAGGTTTCTTTCTCACCTTATCTATCCCCGTACGTTGACCGAGAATCCTCCATTATTTCTTAAATGATGAGTATACCGTTCATCAAATGGTTAATTGCTCAGAATATAAACTCTTATTCGACCATGTCTATATGATTAAAATACTTTATCATCGGAAAATACAACGTTAGATCAAACGTTGTCTTCACAGTTTGTGAATTCATTACAAAATGCAACTCGTCTCCTCTTGTGATCCTCAGTAAAAATATTTCGATGCAGCTACCCAATTTAATTTACTTGCAATCCTTCTACGGGCAGTGCTACCGGAAAACGCTGTCTCTTCGCTAACTCTTCTAGCTATGGCAAAAGGAGCTTCTCTCAGATAATCTACTAACAACTCAAATTGTTGCTCTGTGGAGTTCTTCTGCCCTCTTGAACCATCCAACCGTGCTATAGAGTGAAAATGATCCTATCTTTGTTTGATTTTCCATATGTACATATAACTCACGTTTATATCTGCAGCAACTTACATTAGTGACCAACCTTCTTCTAGTTTGGAAATTGCTATTGTTTTTTGCGCTTCATTCAAATGTATTGTAGATATTTTGGACGCGTTTAATAGCTTTTTATTTTACTTTTCAATACCGCAAAATTTTTGACAAGGTCTTTGCCATTTAGCAAATGCGTACGACACTGTGATTTTAGGTACAATATTACAATATAAAAATGAAAGTGTAAACTATTCAGTGACCGTAGCTATACATTATACTCCTAATTAGGAATCCATTTACTGCCCTGCTGTTTCTGATTTTATAGCTTCCAGTGCTATGTCCTCGACCCAAATCCGAAAGGAGGAGGGTCTTACACGGTGTTGTACAGTCGATCGTCCTCTAAGCGGCACCAGTCTGGAGAGGGGCGGTGGAGATAAAGGCCTATAGGAGGCTCATGACACGAGTGGACAGAACAGTTTGTTACAAGTGGTATGCGCTTACAGAACTGTGTCTGCGGCAGCCTTGTGGACCATTACTGGATGTGTTCCATTGCATGTTTTGGCGGTGGAAAGAAAAAACTCTATGAAAGAAGAGGCCCAAACCTTACTATGGCGGAGAGAAGACAGGAAAGGGAAAAGTCAATTAAAAGATGGCAAGAAGAATGGAACAACACGGAGGATGTGGCACAGTGGACGAAAATACTGATCCCGAACATAAGAGATTGGGTGGATTGTGGCCACAGGCGACTGGATTATTTCCTGACGCAGGTTCTCACAGGATACGAGTGTTTTAGAGTCTACCTGTCTAGGTTATGAAAGTCTGACACAAAAGTAAGAGGGAAAGATGCTG